TCGTCTTATCTAGACCGTTTTTCAAGACTCAAGCCAGCGACTTTACAGCGCTACTTGACAAACGTGTAGGTTATGGTCGTTTGCGGTTGTCATCGTACTTTTACAGTTGTTGCACTTTTGTGAAATTCTTTTCTTTGTAAAATGCTTTTGTAAAATGCTTTTGTAAAATACTTTTGTGAAATACTTTTGCGAATTACTTTTGTAATTGTGTACAAATATTTTTAAATAATATATTTTTTACAATTTTTACTAATTACAATTTAATATATTTTATAATTAGTAATTAATATTATTTAAATTATATTTATATATTGCTGTTAATTTCAATAAAAATATTCTTTTGTTTTTTTTTATAGATTTTTGAAATTTATTTTTTTAATCGAAGAAAAAACTTAGTCACGAATTTATTTATTTTTATATTATATATCCATTTACATAACCTCAAACTAAAAAGTAGTTTTTAACAAAACTAAAAATATATTTAAAATTTATTACACCCAAATTCGACATAACCAATTGTACAATATATTAATTTAAATAATATTAATTACTAATTATGAAATATATTAAATTGTAAAAAATATATTATTTAAAAATATTTGTACACAATTACAAAAGTAATTCGCAAAAGTATTTCACGAAAGTATTTCAGAAAAATATTTTACGAAAGTATTTTACAAAAGCATTTTACAAAAAAAAAGAATTTCACAAAAGTGCAAGAACTGTAAAAGTACGCTGACAACCGCAAACGACCATAACCTACACGTTTGTCAAGTAGCGCTGTAAAGTCGCTGGCCTGAGTCTTGAAAAACGGTCTAGATAAGACGAACTCGACTACGTCTATTGAAACGCTTCTTAGCGAATAGCAAGACCGACTAGTTTAGATGGGCTTACCTATGACAATAAAGGCAATGGATATGGCTTTTATATAAATAGAAATAATTTTATAATTATATTAAAAATATATGTAATTTAAGAATAAAAACATTTTGAATTTGGCATAAAGGCGCGCCAAAAACATCACCGATATTAACAGATTGTCGCCAAGTAGCCAGCGTGGCCCCGTGGTTAGCGTTGTAGGTTTGCGAGCACTCAAATATAGAAAAGGTGCACCAGAATCAGTTTTATCCACATACAAAAAACTCCTAGTAATAATAAAACAAAACTTACAAACAGTCTTTAACAGTTCTGTAAACAACTATTGGATTAACAGAATTGCTAAAATCAAACCTCATGATAGTTCTAACATGTTTCCTCAAATAAAATCAATTTTTAAAGAAAAAAACACCGACGTTATGCCAAATCTGGTGATACCAAAAAATAATAAAGAATTAATAAATAACAATGTTATGAATGTGAACAAAGGTTACATAGTAGGAGATAATATCATAGTATCAGATAGAGTGGACAAGGCTAACTTGCTGGCGAAATTTCTTGCAGACATAAATAATAAGAAACGCACATCCAATAGTGGAGGGTTAGAAAGAATTGTGGAAAGGACAGTTAATGAATTTGTTGAAAGTATCAATGATCCTAAAGGATTATACGCGGGTTCGATATTGAAGTTTGACAAACAAAATAAATCTTCAAGGCCGATATATAATGAACAAGAACATTATTTTTTTGACATTGTCTCACTTAAATTAATTATAGGTAGACTAAATGCGAAAAAATCATGTGGTATTGACAAACTTCCAAATGTGGCAATTAAAAAATTGCCTACAAATATCGTTTCTTTGCTATTGATACTATTCAACAATTTGATTAATAACGGACATTTCCCTAACAGTTGGAAACTAGCTAAAATCACACCAATTTAAAAAAAAACAAAGATCCTACGTCAGTAAGCAGCTATCGTCCAATCAGTTTATTGCCAAACATAGGCAAACTATATGAAATACTTATTAATAAATCAATAGTAAAATATGTCAACAAAAATAGAATTATACCATACGAGCAATTCGGATTTAGAGAGAAAAATTCCACGTTACACGCGGCTTCGAAGTTTTCCTCGGATGTAGCCGAAGCTCTTAGCGGGGGGGAGTTCGTGGCGGCGTGCCTCGTGGACCTAGAAAAGGCATTCGATTCAGTCTGGATCAAGGGGTTGATATTCCGTTTAATTAAAAAAGGGTTTTCACCGTATCTCATAAAATTAATATGGAATATGTTAAAAAATAGAAGAATGTTTGTTTCATTAGGGGATAAGATAAACAGTAAGGAATACGAATTAAATAATGGTCTCCAGCAAGGAGCAGTGAATTCGCCCATACTGTTTAACATATACATCAGCGACCTATTACGGGCCTATGGTCTGAACGGAAGCGGGAACAAAAAAGGGATAGGTTTCGCGGATGACATTATAGTTTATTGTATACATAGAAAAGTCATCCAGGCGGAGAGGGAATTGCAGATGACTTTCAAAAGTGTATGCAAATTTTTTGGCGCATGGAAACTCAGTTGCAATTATAATAAATGTGAATCGATTCTATTTAGGCCATTGGTCCACGATATGTCCAGAGAGTGCAAAACGACATGGAGAGAGTTCAGAATACAAACTGATAACAACAATATCAATGAAGCAATAGAAAACAAAACAGTAGTTAAATACTTAGGTATATATTTTGATAATAGACTTAAATTTAATACACATATAGAATCAACACTCGATAAAGCAAAAAAAGCGTTTTTCAAATTCAAAAATTTATTTATGTCTAGAAAACTAAATGAAAAGGTTAAAATACTGTGCTATGTTTTACTTATACGACCCATTATAGCGTACGGTTGCTTACTGTGGTTTGGGATATCGCCCTCCCAAATGGAGAAAATTAGAATATTTGAGAGAGATTGTCTGAGAAGCTGCCTGGGGAAATATAGAGATCCTGAGACAGGATACGAAAGACATCTCTCAAATGTAAAATTATATAATTTGGCAAATATCCCAAGGATTGATGTGTTTGTCATTGGCCTAGTGCGTGATCACATCGCAAAGGCCATTGACAATAGCACAAACCCATTAATTCCTTCCATATTTGAAAAGGGGGAATTAACCATAAGCAAATTAATAAAAATGGGATATTTGTCCCCAGAAACATTCACTATTCTCGACAAACACAAATTTATACAGAATGAAAATAACGTCCCAATACTCTATCACATTTACAGACACGCCAGAGACAGAATAATTAAATTTAATTCAATAGATCTATTAAATAATCCCAATATCGCTCTTCGCTACTCAACGAGTTTACCAGATATAGACACGAAAAAAAGTTACAGAACAAAATCCACAAAATATAAGTGGCTAACTTAGAAAATGTATATGTGTGCGTATGTGTATGTAAACATTACGTGTAAGCATGCGTGTGTATACAAATACAATATAATTATCCTTCATCCCATTGTTAAATGTATATTGCTCATCTTATGTAAGCGTATCTGAATGTTTAGCCTAGGCTCTTTGACATTTTTTTGAAGACAACAGCTTTTTTTAAATACTTTTTTGGCTGGTTTAAGTGAACAACGTGATAAAGCTTATAAGTAAAGATAAAAAATTACGTAATGTGAATAGAAATAAAAAGAAGGGTGTCGACGAGTTGCTCTTACATGAGCCGTAACTTAACTGATGAAACAAAAATTGTAAAAAACTTCGGATTAAATTAATTAAATAATAATAAATTTTTTTTGAAATTACTAATAATAATTAAATGAGGAGATAAGTTGTCTTGACTTATAAGATTCCAATACAACTTATCTCCTTATTATTAATAAATTAAAATCATATTATTAATGAATACTAATGTTATTTTAATTTTATCTATAAATATAATAATACGTAATATTAATAGGATTATTATTATTATTACTATTATTATTAAGAATTATTGAACGCGAGAATCAAGACCTGGCCAGCTTGTCTAACTCTAGACCGTAGCATGGAACTTTCGTTCCACTTCTGATCGGGGGCTCGACAAGACCGTCTGCCCTGGGTCTATAGAGACGTTAGACAGTCTGTCCAGTGTCCTACCAGCGCCCCGAAATTTTTCCACACGGGTATTCAGGGAATATACCGTGCTGCTTGGGGATTCATGAACACTTTTTCTACAGATCCTAATAGTTGCCTAACTTTATTTTGATATTTAAACTTGTAGTAATTTAGATTTTCTTAGTTTAACAATTGTTGGTTTATTTACAATATTTCCTTTCAAATACACTCAATTATATGTAGGTACCCTCTTTAATTATTTTAAAAAAATATAAAATTTTAAAATTATCGTTAGGAAATATAAGGAGTCAAATGAAAAATTTAACAAAAATTTGATTTTGCACACATACGCACACATATAACAAAATAAAATTTGATTCGTGAGAAATCGTGGTCAGTATAAGTTTCTAAATGAAGGTACTTATCTTTACTCTTGTGAACGGGCACGCCGTGTCGTCCTTATAATGGATTTTTGTCAATATATGATTATTTCGTCACGAGCAAAGTCCCTCTAAACTTCAAATTAATAATTATAGCCTACATATAAGGAAATTGTATAAATGTTACAAATACAAAAAGTTTTCGTCCGTACAGATTTTAAAATAAATCAAATAAGCTTTCAATATCGACGATTTCAAGCACTCATCATTCGACATTCCGGAAATTCCCGATCATTATTTATAATCTCTCTTATATATTTCTCCATTTTATATATAGTTATGATTAGTTACAAACTGCTAAAACAATACAAAAAACAAATTATCGGCTCGCCGACGTTTTCCTAACATCTGCTTCCATCTTTGTCATTGTTATGCGAAATAAATTAAATAAATTTTCACACTAATTAAAATAATTTTACGAAAGATTCTAGTTAACTACACAGAAAAAAACTGAACTCAGAATGAGCCGTATAGGCGGCTCATTATGATGTGCAACAAAAATGAGACTAGGTTTTTTCTGTGTACCTTCCTCCTTCCACTTGTGATGGTAGTCCTATAAATTTTTGTGATCATGAAATTGTTTATGTTCTCTTTATGTAGAAGTAACCTACTTCGGTCCAGAGAGCGTTCGTAATGGTTCGTCGTGGACAATCACCTGTACCGGATTCCAGGATAAGAAAGATATATATTGGACAAAAAATGGTAATACGCCAGAAGAACTGTCTCAAGGACGTTTACATATAGAAGTTAGTGATAAGTATAGTAATATCACTGCTGCCGTGGGATTAGAGATTCACGAAGGTGTCTACAAATGCGCGAAAAGCACCAACAACACATTTCGATTAATTATTATTACCGGTTTGTAAACTTTCTAGTAAATAAGACTTTTACTTTACATTTTTTAAATGAGTTTAAGTCATTTAAAAAATAAAAGACATTCTTCTAAATGTTAGTTGATTATGTCATGTGGGGGCGCATGAATATTCCCCAACTGACATTTAACTGAACTGTCATATAACCGAACTGATATGTAACAGAATTGTCATTTAACCGACCTGTCTTATAACAGAATTGTCATTTGACCAACCTGACAATTTATAAAAATGTCACATAACCGATTTGATATATAACAGAATTGTCACTGAATCAACCTGACATTTAACAGAATTGTCACTTAACCGACTTTTTTCGGCGCGAATTTCAAAATTGTCCAATTACAAATTATCGTCAAAATTGCGATTGGTCAAATTTGAAACGAAAAAAGTCAGTCAAATATTAAAATAAATTAAAATGAAGTAAATTCCATAGAATATGATATGGTTCGATGTATTTGTAACGAGTTAATTAATCTCCGTAACAACTATATACACAGTAAAAATAAAGTACTAAAATAGTACCGATTTTAGGTATCAAAATAGAACCAAATGACAATATAGTACCTAAAGTATGAATGTATGAATTTTTCTTAAAAATTCGTTCTCATTCCTATGTAGTTTCTATTACACAGTACAACAGCATTTTTATTTCTGGAATCGCATAAAGTGATTCTAACAGGTTTTTTAACGCTAAATACGAATCCGAACTCAAAATTTTTCCACCATCCTAGGATATTGACAAAATTTAACCTTGAAAATTGAAAAAATGCCTTTTTTAGGGTACTTTTTGATATTTTATAACGGCCCAAAAATTTTTTTAAAGTTTTTGATAGATTTAGTTGAAATTTGTCTCTCGGGGATTTCAGGATCTATATAGGCTTAAGAACGTTTATGCACAGAACTGCAGACCTCTAGAAAAAAATAATTAATTAACATTAAAATAATTAAAGTACCATTATTAATTGTACTTTCTGAAAAATGAGATATCAATTTTCAAGAAAAAATTTAAAATCGGCGAAAGGATGAGGGTCAATAATACCGTTTTTTGGGCCCTCGTCAAATCGGTTGCTATTATGGAAAATTTGACCTCCATAGTATGCCAGACAATCTCCCCAAACCGTTTTTGATTTATCAAAAAATACCAAAAATAACTCATCCCAAAAAATCGTAAAATACATAGGATTCGGTACATCTCAGCAGAAATTAGTTAATTTTAATTATTGATTTAGTAACCCCGGTCGCCAAACTTTCTCAAAAACTTTGTACGTATGCAGTGAAGAAAATGTGTCAGTATGAGCGATTTACATTAAGAGCTGGGACAAAAAATTCAAGATGATTACGAATCTAAGGTCAGATTTTCAAAATTTAAAATGGCGGATCCAATATGGCGGACATTAAAATAAAACTTGATGGTATTGACTTGAAACTTGTTACTCGGGGGTTTTTGGGTTCGCTCATTACGAATCTGAAGTCAGATTTTCAAAATTCATAATGGCGGATCCAATATAGAGACAAAAATTTTTTAATTGAACAGATTTGCTTAAAACTTGTTACTCGGAGGTTTTTGGGGTCGTTGATTACGAACCTGAAGTCAGATTTTCAAAATTCTAAATGGCGGATCCAATATGGCGGACATAAAAATAAAACTTGATCGTATTGACTTGAAACTTGTTATATAAAGTAGACATAAACTGTCCCGAGCAAAATTTTCGACATTCAGTAACTGTCACTCGCCGTATGCCACGCCTACAGGGGTCGGTAGTGGGAATTTGCAGGATCATAACTTGTCTATTGAGTCAAATCACGCCAAGTGAGCACACCTTCGGACCATTTGTCTCCGATTAAGTTGAAACTTGCTAGAATTGTTGTACCAATACAGTAAAATCCTTTGACGACTATAAATTTCAAAAAATAATAACTTCCTTTATTATTACCAAATAAAAAATACGTATTTTATTTTTCATATACATTTCGAAAAAAAATGTTTCGTACAAAAAAAATTTTGAATGAAAATTTCCTGTGGAATGCCCCATTACAATTTTTTACATTCTAATAGTTTTTAATCATAACCTCTTTTTGTTACATAGATAGGATTAAACAGAAATTAATATTATGTCAACAAGTTGTACATAGCGGCATGACAAACTAGCACGCTAACCCGTGAAAACCGTCGAAAAATTGCGCCGTGCAGTAAATAAACAATTTTTGTATTTATACAAATGTCGGGCACTGAAATTTTTTTTTGGATTTATAATCTTTAGTAATCAAGGTATTTATTTATGCAAAAGAGAATTAATTTCGGGATGGAGAAAATAAAAAAAAATAATTATTGTTTATAAAAAATTAATAATTTTTAGAAAAAAAATTTTTTTGTACGGCAAATTTTTTTTTAAATACAGTAAAAATGGAGAAAAAACATTTTGTACATTTTTTCCTATGAACAATATTATAGGAGCTAGATATTTTTGAAAATTAACGCTTAAAAAAATATTGAATTTTTACACCCTGTATCTAGGCAACCCGTTATTATTATTGGTATTGGTACAACAATTCTAGAAAGTTTCAGCTTAATCGGAGACAAATGGTCCGGAGGTGTGCTCACTTGGCGTGATTTGACTCTATTTACGTTTTACAGATGTAATGGTTCTAATGCAATAGAAAAAGCAAGCTCGAATGAAAATAATTTTCTTTTTCTTAAATAATATTTATTTATTTATAATGTTATATATTTGTTTATTCATTTATTATATTATTCTGAATTTTCAGAAATATAAATCTTTCATAAATCAGATACAATTTCTTTAGTAAATTCATCTAATGATTGCAACACTAATAAATGATTTCCTGGACAGGTAAATTATTTTCTTCATTTTCATCTGCATCTGAAAAATCATCATTACTATCATTTTCTTCTTCTTCATCTTCTCCTCCATGTTCATTGTTTTGGTTGCTACGTGAAAAATTAAATTTTATTTAAAAAATATTGCCTTATTTTTTTGTACTTGTGAAGTATGAAAATTATAAACTTAGCCACGATGTATTTGTTGAATATTAAGAACTTCCCAACCAGAATCATTTCTATCAATATTGAGCCAATTCTGTAAATCCTTAGGTGAACAGTTATTTAAATTTAATCCTGAAATTCGACTAAGAAGTGGAAAAATATCTTCAATAGAATTGTTTCCATTGTTACAAGCATTGTTGTCATCATCATCAGGAACAATTAATTTTCTCCATGATCTTATAAGATTTGATTGCGTTATTTTTTCCTAAGCATTTGCTATTTTTATAGAACAAGTTTTTAAATTGTCTTTTTAAAAATTCAGAAACACCATCTTCAGTTGTTTCTAATAACAATTCTCTTAAAAGACTTTTACGATTTTAAATCAAAAGTAAATGAATTGCAAAAAAATTTTTTAAAAATAGTTTCACTTTAAATTTTTTTTAAATTTTTTGTCCTGGTCAAAAATTCAGACAGAAATTAAATATCCAAAGCTATAAAATTGAGATATAAAAATTTGAAGTTACCTTCGTTGAATGAAATTGTCTTTTGGATTTATGCGTCTGTCTTTTTTTTGTTTATAAACTTATGGAATTTTAATATATATATCTTGTAACTTTTATTTATTTCATATTTCATTTTAAAGTATACACCATATAACCTAAATGTCAATTTATGTTCTTTATTAGAGGATGATGCGTAAATAAGAATCTCTTATAAAACATCTGGTTCCGGACTAATCACAATGCGCAGAAAACAACTGTGTCTCAACTCTCTCTTTAGGATCTCTAGTCGGATTATCAAGATATCTGCTCAAGTATGAAACGGAGAATGCGATGTTCGGTCTTGACGTTGTTGATAAATACATTAACCCTCCAATTAATTGTCTATATGGAACGTCAATCACTTCATTTTTTTCAGTAATTTTGAATCCTTTTTCATCTACTATTTACTATTTTCATCTCTGATTATCTTCATTCCTAAGAAACTTTGGATTCCATCTAAATCTTTTGCTTCAAAATGTTCTTTTAATAAATTTATCGTGTTTTTAACTTCATTTTGATTTCCTGTTACCAACATGTCATCTACATAAATCAAAATCCATACGTCTTTACCGCAATATAAGCAACAGTCATATTTCGATCTCTCAAAACCGTGTTTTAAAGCAAAATAATTAAACGTATTATTCCATACTTTCGGTGATTCCTTGAGTCCATATAATGCTCAATTCAATTTGAAGATAGATGATTTAGACTGTAAACCCTCTGGTTTGTGGATATAAATTGCACTTTCCAAATGTCCATTTAAGAAGGCTGTAGGAACATCTAACTGCTTTATATTCCAATCCATTTTCAGTGATATTGTTATTAACAGTCTTATTGTTGATATTCTCGCTACTGGTGCATACACTGGTTCGAATGGATTCTCTTCTTTCAACTGAAACCTTTTTGCTACTATTCTAGCCTTCTTTGTGCCATCTTCTTTTGTTCTAAAGACCCATTTTGTCTGAATTGGTTTCTTCCCTGCTGGTAGAAATGCTTCGCTCCACGTTTGAAGTTCTTCATGCGCTTGCAATTCTTTTTTAATTGCATCATTCCATTGTTCACTCTTCATTGCGTCTTCATACGTGACTGGATCATTAGGTGCTGTTAACAAACAATAAACATAAAATAAATTTTATAATCATTCAAGTGTTTTGGTGCAACTATTTTTCTACCTCGTCTCGTTACTTTATTTTCTGTACGGTCATTTTCTGGATTACAAGAGTCAGAATCTTGTTCATTTGTTTCACTTTCGTCGTGGTCAACTTCTTCTAAATTTTGTTCTTGATTGTTTATTTCTATCTTTTCTTCTCTATTATTTATTATAATTTCTTTGTCATTTTTCATTATTATGTTGTTGTAATTGGTTTGATTTTCATCGAATCTTACGTCTCTTGAACAAAAGATTTCTTCCTTTTCATAGTCCCATAGTCTGTATCCCGATCCACTATACCCAATCATAACACATGGTTTTGCTCGTTTTTCCAACTTACTTTGTTTTGGTAATACTGTCGCCCAGGCCTGGCTTCCAAAAACTCTCAGTTTTGATAAATCGTTTTTCTTGTACCATCTTGTAGTTGGCGTTTCTCCTCTGTTTGCTTCAGTAGGTGACCGGTTAAGTTCGTAGGCTGCACATTGAATAGCTTCACCCCAAAGTATTTTCGGTAAATTCGTTTCTGAAAATTTTGTTCTAACTTTGTCTAACAGTGTCCTGTTCATTCTCTCTGAAGTGCCATTTTCTTGAGGTGTATGTGGCATCGTATATTTTATGGTGATACCTTTGTTCCTACAAAATTCTTTAAAATAATTTGATACAAATACTCCCCCGTTATCACATCTAATCTTTTGCGTTTTTTCACCCTGTTGTGTTTTAGTTAATTTAATAAAATCAATTAAGTTTTGTTCACTTTCATTTTTACACTTTAATAATTTAACAATTAAAAAATGAGAATAATCATCAATCAATACTTGAAAGTATCTGTATCCATCTTTTGTAGGAGGTTTTATTGGACCTGAAATATCTGAATGTATCAACTGACCAATTCGTTCGGTTTTATTTGTCGATTTATAAAACGGTTTTCTAGTACTTTTACCTTCTATACAATTTTTATAAATTTCTTTGCTGCAAGGTAATCCTAATAAATTTAAACCATTTTGATTAAGATGTCCTAACCTTCTATGCCAAATGTTATCTTTATTATTGTTACAAGCCGAGAAATTACAATGTTTGTTTGTAGTGTTTTTTGAGTTCTCGACTTTGAAATCGACATTTAAATAAAAAAGACCATTTTGTGAAGTACAATAAAACATAGAATTATTTTTTAACAGTTTAGCTGTTTTGTTCCCTAGTTTATTATTGTCGAATACTACTTTGAAATCTTTCTTTAATAGTTGTGATACTGAAATTAAATTATGAGACATACCCTCAACAATCAATGCTTCAATTTCGATTTCTTTATTTTGACAAATTCCTTTTAAAGTCCCTTTCTTTTTAGCAATTAAAACTTCATCACTTTTCGCTGTTCCTATTTTTACAGGTGTTTCTAATTCTGAGATATTAAACATAAAACTTTCTAACTCACCTATAACCATCTGTTGTGTGCACCCGGAATCTAATATAAATTTATTTACATTTTTTGGCGATGTCTCACTGTTTAACGCTATGAATGCAATTTCGTCTGCTTCGTTTGCCTGCGAGTTGTAGCCGTGATTTCGACCTCTGCTTTGAAATCTTGCTCTTCCACTTCGACGTCCTCTGTAGTTTCCTTTGGAATTTTTATCGTAATTTGATCTGCATTCGGCAATTTTATGACCAGCTTTACCACATTTAAAGCAAGTATACGTGTCCGTTTTAAATGTCACTTCCGGATGAACATGTGTGTTATTTACAGGCTTCGATTTGATTTTCTTTTCCTCGTCCAATGATCTTGATTTTATAAAGTCCATTGTGATCTCGGTGTTTAAAGTTTCTATAGCTGTAATAACTGCTCCGTATTCTTGACTCAGAGATAATAATAAATGACAAACTTTATCTGACTCTTCGACCTTTGAGCCAATACTTTCTAATTCTCTGATTAAAGAATCAAATTTATGAAAGTGATCTTCAAGAGCTTCTGTTTTATTATGTTTTAATGTTAGCAGCTTTCTCTTCAAAGTTAGTTTAGTAAACACACTTTTTCTTTGAAAAACACCTTCAAGCGCTCCTAACATTTCTTTTGCTGTTGTGGAATCTTTTATAATGTCTAAATGTTTATCACTTACGCACTGTACAATAATAGATTTCGCTCTTGCATCCTTAACCTTAAATATCCATAACCTGTTATTTATGGATGGAATAAATCAACTTTAACTTTGACTTTTATCATTTATTTATATAGAACAGTTTATTAAAAGAGAAAACGTGTACAAAAAATACAGTGCACTTGACGCGATTTTTAAATGATCAAGAACAAGGAATATCAAGATTAGGTTAGATCATTTACACGCCATAGTTGATATAAAAGAAGTTGTATGAACGCACTTTAACAGAAAAAGCCATGATTTTTCTCTCCGTGCATATGTACAAAATTTTTGGGAAAGTTTGTTGACCGGGGTTACTAAAGTAATAATTAAAATTAACTAATTTCTGCTGAGTTGTACCGAATTTCATGTATTTTAGAATTTTTTAGGATTAGTTATTTCCTGTATTTTTTGATAAATCAAAAAACGTTTTGGGGAGATTGTCTGGCATACTAAGGAGGTTAAATTTTCCATAATACCAACCGGTTTGAGGAGGGCCCAAAAACGGCCTTATTGACTCTCATCCTTTATTTGTTTATCTAATCTGCATAGAATAAAATTTTTTTCTTATATCGCTGCTACAGAATTTTTTAAAAATGATTCGATTTCAATGAAATATGGCTTATTATCTTCAGAAAATGATTCTCTACAACTTCACCGTGGGGATTTTCGAACAAGCAAGTCGTTTGGAAAATACAGCTATTTGTTTAAAAGAAAAATTTGGATTTTTTTAAACAAATGACTGTTTTTGCCAAACGGCTTGCTTGTTTGAAAATCATCTTCTGAAGAAAATAATCCATATTAGATTGAAATCAAATTATTTTTAAAAAATTCTGTAGAAGCGATATAAAAAAAAATTTTTATCCTATGCAAATAGTATAAACAAATAAATTTTTCTGGTTTTTAATTTTTTTCTTGAAAATTGATATCTCATCTTTTAGGAAGTACAATTAATAATGTTATTTTAATTATTTAAATTTGAATTGATTTTTTTTCTAGAGGTCTGCATTTCTGTGGATAAACGTTCTTAAATTAAAATTTAAATAGCACATTTTAAAGCCCATGTATGCAAGATAACAAATTTCAAATTTATAAATAGATGGGGTTTTTTCCAAATTGTAAATTTTTTCCTCTTGCGTCTCAAAGTGGGTCTCAAAGTGTACTATTCAAGATTTAATTTAAGCCTATAAAGAAGTCTTTAGTTCGACAGGTTAAGAAGAAAAAAATACTGAAGACCCTCAAAACCATGTTCTTTGGGGTATTTACCCCTTTTTTCCAAATTTGAAATTTTTTATCTTGCGTATATGGGTCTTAAAATGTACTATTTAAAATTTAATTTAAGCCTATATAGACCCTGGAATCCCCGAGAGACAAGTTTCAACGGAACCTATCAATTTTTTTAAACAAGGATATCGCAAACAAAAATAAATATTTTTAAATGTTCTAAATTGCAAATTGTTCAGGAAGATATGAGCTTTTAAATACATATCACGAAAACTCCATAAAAAATTTTTGTTCCATTATAGAAAATCAAAAAGTACCCTAAAAACGGCATTTGCTCAATTTTAAAAGTCAATTTTCTCGAAAACCTAAGGTGATGGAGCAATTCTGAGTTCAGATTCGTGTTCAGCGTCAAAAAATCTGTAAGAATCACCATATGCGATTCCAGGAATTAAAAAAATTGAAATTCTGTTGCACAGTGTTATATAACTTTCTAAAAGTATGAACACAAAAAATTGTTATTTTGGATTCTTATTTCTTATTATTCTTACACTAGCCTCAAATTCGGGACTGTCCCGCGAAATCCGGACGGATGGTCACGTTAAAAGTAGGTATTAAATTAATACCGTTCGTTTTACAGTATACCAATTGATCTGGAACTTTTGGACTTTGTTTTTAGTTCTAATAACTCGCTAGTGAACGAAGGAATTTCAAATTGAATCATAATTTATATTTTTTTCAGTCGCAAAACTAAATTTCAAATACTACTAAAGTCAGTCTTTTTGAGACAGTAGTCGCCTTTTAAACAAATAAATTTATTTGCAAAACCCTTCGTTTATTAACGAATTATTGTAATTAGAAAGCCTAAAAGTTTTAGGTCAAACGGTACAGTGGTTTCAAAAAAATGTTTGTAACCTCAACCATCTAAGGAAAAAAAGTGTTTCTAAACTACGGTGATAGTTTCCACAATTATTAATATTTTTTGTTGGTTAAACTTGTTAAAAATACATCGAAACATATTATAAGTGTCATGGAGTGATAAATTCAAATATATTATAGTTATATTTTTTGTTTAACAGATATCATATACAAAGTGGTGCCTTACGGAAAGGAATTTGTGAAAGACAAAAAAACAACTCTGATTAATCCAGTAGCATTACAATGTGGCAATTCTACTACCAAAGACATTGTGGAATGGACAAAAGATGGAACAGTTATAGATCAATCACATCCGGACATAGATAACTGGAGGATAAATGAATCTCGAGTTCTCGAGGTGCTACAAAACAATCATAATGTTATAGGCAATTATACATGTATTAACAAGAATCAAAGTTTTTCCCTTCGCTTCAGAGTCGTTCGTAAGTTTTTAGTCATTTAATTATAAATATTTGTTTACAATATTTACAATATTTGTCCACAAGAACCCCAAATGTATAATGAAAATATATATTTTATGTATGATATTAAAATGTATTTGCTGATTTTTAATTTTGCTTCAGCTAACCCCGTCCCAAAATTCGAAAATAACTTCCAAAGTGTCGTGGAAGGTGAAAAACTCATTTTAAACTGCGGTGGGAATCTTTATCCAGGAATTAAAATTGAGTGGGAATTTAATGACTACAAGTTTAATACCTCAGAGGGCAGATTTCAACTCTCACGTGATCTAGAAAATGGAGTAAGTGGAGGAGTTCTGACCGTCTTAGACATGAAAATGACCGACAGCGGGCATGTCGGTTGCAGAGTTTATTATGAAGATAATGAAAAATACAATGCTACTTTTTCATCTGAGTTGAAAGTGAAAGATAAGCTTGCTGCCCTTTGGCCTTTCCTTGGCATCTGTGCGGAAGTTGCCGTTCTCTGTACTATAATAGTAATCTACGAAAGAAAACGCAACAAGGCTGAACTTGAAGAATCAGACACAGATCAGAGTCCAGATACGTGAGTATTTATTAGATGTTTAGCTTTTCGTTTTGAATTTAATTTTCTGCATAGTCCCAGGATCCAATTTCAATAATAATTCATCTGAAATTATTATGCCATAGTCAGATTCCTGATATGGAAAAGTATCATCCTCTTCGAGGTCCACTTCCTCCATCCAATCTCCCAGTCCAACCCATGAATAACATCTGACAACTCCTTGATGGTCTTAGAAGTAGTCAACTTCAACACATTTTAACAATTTAAGTATTTAACGCACTGTTTTTAATATGGAATTTCAAGTATTCTTTTATGAAAATAAAAAGTCGGTAATTAATAGTAAAGAAGCATATGAGGCATTTAATTTGAAAACACTACAAAAATAGGTGACTTGGTATTTTACAATAATTATATTTACCATTATATTATTATTTTAAAAAGTGATTCTATTTTTTATATATGAGTGAATTCATTACTTATATCTTAAATTCAATAAAATGCTCTTCTTTATCCATTGATAGGTTAGTATATTTTGTTTGGAATTTTTTTTTGGATATATTTAATACGAAATACCTTTTCACCCTCTTTTTTAGATTATAAATTTGAGTTTTCTTCTCTTGTGATTCTTAATATAAAGGTTTATTTAACTCGTTTGAAAGTGAAACTTGTCTCCAAAAAATCATTTTATTAGGCCTCACTTGACAGTGTCTTTCTCTTATATTTTTATTAGTAGTATTTTTCGTTTCTTCATCTATGATTTGTTTTTTCTTTCGTTCATTCTCCGAAATTACATCTTGATGAAAAGAAACATCCTGATGGGGAGATTTTCTTCATCAGGAGCATTTGAAGTTTGTAATCCACTATCGAGTGTTGGAAAAGGTGTATCAACATTTAACTGTCGAGAAAAAAATCTTTTGTGCATAAACTTATATTTTTATATGATATTTTCAATATTATGACTATTACAAAAACTACAAATATACAATAAAAATTAGGTTTTAAAACAAAAATTAAGGGTGTACATCCGAGTAGCACATACCTCAGATTTCTATGAAACTTGATATACTAACGTATTTTGATGTACTAATTACGAAAATGATAGTGAAAGTTGGCGCAAATTTAATTATCATGGTAAAAACCATAAAAAACACAAAAACATCATGGTTTTTTGCGATTAACTCGTAAAAAACGAAAAATGTTTTAGACAAAAGATGTAGGTCTTTAAAAAACACACATTTTATGTCGTATACATTTTTCACCAAAACCGAGTGGTTTTTGAGAAAAGTGTAAAAAAAACTCAAGACAACCATAAAATAAGTGGTGCCGCAAAACTCGAGACAAGACGAGACTGAAGGTAACAAGACCAAGACGGACCATTTATCTTGTCTTGATTATTGAAGAAGAGACGAGATCAACTATGTCAAGACCAAGACAGGAATTTAGTCAGCTTTAACTTTCGTGTTGGTCATTTTTTCAAAAATTCGTTAGTTACAATGCTATATTGGAAATACTGAAAAATATCGGATTTTACCTGTTATCACGAAAAAAATTGGTCTTTGCTGAAACTATATCTCAGTCAATTTTTGAGCTACAAAGTTGAATTATTTTTCAATTTTTTCAAAATTTTATGCACTTTCTTTTTTCTTAGAACTATTTTTATGCTAAAATGTAATGGAAAGCTGCAATTTGCAAAAAACTGAGTTTTTGCAGCTGATTTACAAAAAACATTTACGTTTCCGTAGGCGTTTGAAGTACCAAATTCAGGTATTTTATTTTTACACCAAAATGAAGGGTTTAAGCAAAAAAAATTGAGGTGCTGAGTTAAAAAATGGTATGTGTTGTTTTTCGACTATTTTGACTGGACTAGTATAATTCTGTTAACCATAAATGAACACTAATTCTCATAAATTTTAATTTCTCCACAAATAAATAATTGAGGACCCCGATTCTATAAGGAGACCTACGTTTGAGGCAGCCGCCTTGCGACCAGTCAGGTGGTCCAAAAATGGAAAAAAATAAAATTAAAAATTAAAATTTTTAAAAATGCTTTTTCCATTGAGATTTTTTTTATAAAACGAATATTAAAATTAATAGAGGCAAAAAAGTAGAAAATTTTTTAGCGATAATTTAATGGACTTTTAAAACATAACTCGTCGTAATTTTGACAAATATTGATGGATTTTTTTGAAATTTGGTGCATTTTATTCAATTTATACTATTAAAGACGACAATCATAAAAAAATCAAGAAAATTGTAATTATATAATAATAAATAATAATAAAGTTTTAATTTTGAAAATATGTGTTTTTCAACCTTCTACTGAAAAAGTTATCAAGGGAATTTTCATTCTGGAAAAACTTCTCGCGACAAAGTTTTTCCTTACATATTAAAGAAGTTTTTCCAAAAGTTTGTAATTAATTCTATAAAAAATAAAGAAGTTATAAGGAAAATAGTGAAAAACTATTTTTCCTTATACTGCAGGAGTAGCCATGACACCTCACGGCTTAGTTTCTTCAGGGGCGTTCTTATTATATAATAATCATCATGAAAAAATAATAATTTATTTGTTATAAAAAATATATTTCTTAAATTACGTAATAAATTATTATTTCATATTGTATAAGAAAATTATTACTTTTCCTATTCAAAATGTATAAACACTGATTTCAAATATAATTACAATTCTCAATATGTATTTTGGATATATTTTTGTTTATTAACAGAAATAGAATACAAAAATATTTCATTATTAGTAAAATCAAAAATTTGTATGCCAAATTATTTTTTCAGGATCGAGTGTAGGGCGAATTATATAATAAGAACGCCCCTGAAGAAACTAAGCCGTGAGGTGTCATGGCTACTCCTGCAGTATAAGGAAAAATAGTTTTTCACTATTTTCCTTATAACTTCTTTATTTTTTATAGAATTAATTACAAACTTTTGGAAAAACTTCTTTAATATGTAAGGAAAAACTTTGTCGCGAGAAGTTTTTCCAGAATGAAAATTCCCTCTATAACTTTTTCAGTAGAAGGTTGAAAAACACATATTTATTTGCAATATACAGAGAAAAAATTTATGTTATTTATCTTTATAAGTTTATTCTTTATTTATTATTATTAGTCCGCAAAATACTTTCGGCCATATTCACCCTCCCCCCCCCAAGATGTATTTAAACTGCAAACAGGTAAAAATAACACAGGCCTGCGAGATTTAGTTACAAGAACCTGTGGTACTAATTCTCGTAGGTTTTTGCGCGCTGAACACGAATCTGATGTCCAAAATGGCCCATCACGTCAGGATTTTGAGTAATTCAAGGTCAAATGTCCCAAAAACGGCTATTTTGGACACTTTTGGGAATTTTTTCTGGGAGAAAAAAATTTTTTCTTTAATTTTCGAAAGCGCTATCATATAATGCGTACTCTCAGCTTCAAAACCCATTTTTGAAAATTAATTTACGATTATTTTTAAAGAAGTCATGAACATTTAAATGTATGACCTTGAGTCATTTTTTAAGACTATTAACCCTTAAACGCCCGACTTTAATTGTAGAAATGCGATTTTCGTCATGCTCTGTATTCAAGGGTTTTTGAGGTCGCTGATTACGAATCCGAAGTCGGTTTTTAAAAATTCAAAATGGCGGATCCAATATGGCGGACAACTTTTTTAACAAACCATTTAATTCGTCTGAAAATCGTTACTCTGGGGTTTTTGGGGTCGCTGATTACGAATCCGAAGTCGGTTTTTAAAAATTCCTAAGTAAAAATCCGATGATAGTTTTCTAAATTGAAAAATCTCCTAGTAGTCATTTTTATGGCTGTCTGTATTTTAGTTTTTGTCCATAATCTTGGATCTGCCATTTCGAATCTTGAAAAACTATTATCGGACCCAACCAATGAAGGCAAGGTAAGAAGAGTTCCCAACCAATAAAGGTAAGGTATGAACGTGTCCCAAACTAGCAGAAACATGTAAGTATGCGCAGAAACATAATTTGGTCTACTGCGCAAACGACTTACTACCTTTATTGGCTCATATTCTGCTTCAAAGCTCTCATTCCTCCACCACTGAAGAAATTGGATCCGCCATTTTGAATTTTTAAAAACCGACTTCGAATTCGTAATCAGCGACCCCAAAAACCCCCGAGTAACGATTTTCAGACGAATTAAATGGTTTTTTAAAAAAGTTGTCCGCCATATTGGATCCTCCATTTTGAATTTTTGAAAACCGACTTCGGATTCGTAATCAGCGACCCCAAAAACCCCCGAGTAACGATTTTCAGACGAATTAAATGGTTTTTTAAAAAAGTTGTTCGCCATATTGTATCCGCCATTTTGAATTTTTAAAAACCGACTTCTGATTCGTAATCAGCGACTTCAAAAACCCTTGAATACAGAGCATGACGAAAATCGCATTTCTACAATTAAAGTCGGGCGTTTAAGGGTTAATAGTCTTAAAAAATGACTCAAGGTCATACATTTAAATGTTCATGACTTCTTTAAAAATAATCGTAAATTAATTTTCAAAAATGGGTTTTGAAGCTGAGAGTACGCACTATATGATAGCGCTTTCAAAAATTAAAGAAAAAATTTTTTTCTCCCAGAAAAAATTCCCAAAAGTGTCCAAAATAGCCATTTTCGGGACATTTGACCTTGAATTACTCAAAATCCTGACGTGATGGGCCATTTTGAACATCAGATTCGTGTTCAGCGCGCAAAAACCTACGAGAATTAGTACCACAGGTTCTTGTAACTGTCGCTATGGAGCCCACCTGACTTTGTCCGCAAAATACTTTCGGCCACATTGAACCCCCACCGCCAATGTTTCTTTAAAATCACTATCATTTTCGTAATCAGCGCACCAAAATACGTTAGTATACCAAGTTTTGAAGATATCGGAGGTATGTGCTAATTGGAAGTTTATCCTTTAAAAGAATACTTTTTATAAAAAAAAAAAATATTTGTGTAAATTGCAAACCTTATATTAATTTATTCTTTTTCTATAAGAAAGAAATATAAAAGCCAAAA